GTTGGTCATCCTGGGCATCCAACGCAAAGTCCGGGTAACTGGACTGAAATTTTTAAAGTCATTTGAAGCCATTCTTTTGTTTGTGATTTATTTCACGTCGAATATATACGGCTCTATTCGGTCAACAGATGCCTGGTCAGAAGCAGTTAATCTGGCGCTCCTGATGGCTATTTTTCTGCAGTATGGGGACATTCGGCACATGTAGGGCGGTATTAATCTCCAAGCAGATAATTTGGTGGCTGGAAAGACAGTATCAAATTGGCCAGGCAGTATAGAGCCATTTGCCACACAGTTACTATTTGGGAGATTAGGGCGGTAAGCGGTTGTTTAAGGCCTTGTGTGCCAGTAGGGCTTTTGGAGCTTGTGTGAGGACTTAACATGTTTTTATTCCAGACATTCCAGAATTTCAGCGATGGAGTTAGATCTGGGGGACGTATGTAAGAATGAGCTTGCCAGTTCGGTTTTGCATCTTTTGACGTTTTTCTCACTAGTTCCCGATCAGACGCAGATCTATAGTCCCAGACAGAACAAGAGGTCGATGACTTCATATACCTTCGTCATGCATGGGCTTGCGTTATGAGAAATGTGCTGCTGTATATATTTCGACTTTTACTTTACTAGTATGCAAACCAAAGGATGTGTACAGAAACACAAGTTACACGAGTACGGGTATTTTCCAACATAGTCACGATGCTTATGACATAATCAACCCTTACATATTCACTATTAAAATAACTTCAGCTTAAAAAAGAACAGTTACCCCCAAATTAATATAAATAGCAAGAGGCTGAGCGCACATAACAAACCCTATCTCAGCGTTCCGGTTGATACTATAGAAAATACGTCATTACATATCCATTATTTACGTAACTTGAGGCTTAAGAATAAAAACATTAAACATCGTTGTTTTACACATTTTCTAGTGCTATAAAGCTACCTCGATTCATACTGACATTTGGGATGTTAAAGATCAACGTCGTTTTGTCCCCAAAACGTGTTGAAAAACTGCCAACTCCAGGGCGCTGCCGTGGATCGCGGCCATGTTGTTTGTTTACATTCCTTTTAAAGCCTCTTAAAAGCCTTTAAAAAACGGCGCAACTTATTCTCGTGCTGCAATGAGTCGTCGTCGTAAAAGCGAAATAGCGACGCTATTATGTTGAAAGTTATTGAAAATGACATATCTACAGGAGAAATGTTCAGTCATATTTACAGTTTTGGCGAAAAAAAATCTTACATGATATGATCACTTTGACGTATTTGTGAAGAGGGTTAGTGTGAAGGGATCTAATAGGTGAATATTGTTCCTACAGACCAACAAACAGATCCAAGTGATGATGCCGACAAGACAAAATGTTGCAAAAAGCTGTGGATAACCATCGGCATTGCGTTTGCGATCGGCGTGGCCATTGCCGTAATCCTGGCGTATTGTGCAGGTCAGAATTTTTGTGATGTTGTACTAATCTTCCAGTAGATTCGGTGGGGCAAGGGGACTTTATTTTGGTCGCCTATATCCATCGTCCGCCCCACGAATCCTGCCGCAGAACGGAAGGCTTGAAATCTTTCCAATCTAATTGTAAGTCGATTTGTAAGTAGGTGTGAAGTTTTCGGCAGGAGTGTATTACCTCCTGGTTTCTACCCGCACACCGTTGGGCGAACGATGGATACAGTCGACCAACATAAAGTCCCCTGCCCCCATTAAATCTGCTTGGAAATAATTGTTGTACCTTGTTACGTGTAATACTTAAGAGATTCCGTCTCAAATTTGCGACATATTGCATGCTGTTTCTATCTTTTTTAAATTTGCAGCTAAAGGGTTACTTGTGTCTACTGGAGAATCTCTGGGATTTGATCGTCATGCTGGGTTGCATGGGTCTACTGAGTCTCCTGAAGGAAAGGGTTCTGTGGGAATGGATGGTCAGGGTGGGTTATCCGGGTCTACTGGATCTCCTGAAGGAAATGGTTCTGTGGGAATGGATAGTCAGGCTGGGTTACCTGTGTCTGCTGGATCTCCCGAAGGAAATGGTCCTGTGGGGATTGATGTTCAGGCTGGGTTACCTGGGTCTGCTGGGTCTCCTAAAGGGAACAGATCTGGATCAAAGGGCCATATGGTGCTGAGCTGTGGAATACAGTGGGTGATGATGGCAATGGGTGATGAGGCTCAAATAACCTGGTCAATTGGGCCTCCTGTGGAAAAGGGATTTGTGGGAATGGATGGTCAGACTGGGTCTACTGGGTCACCTAAAGGAAAGGGTCCTGAGGGAATGAATGGTCAGGCTGTTTTACATGGGTCTGCTGGGTCTCCTGAAGGAAAGGGTTTTGTGGTAATGGATGGTCAGACTGGGTCTACTGGGTCTCCTGAAGGAAAGGGTCCTGTGGGAATGGATGGTCAGGCTGAGGTAATTGGGTCTACTGGATCGGTGGAAATGGCCGGTGGTGCAATTGTAGCGGCGTCTGGTTCTCAAGAACAAAATGGCCCAAATGAAGGTGAGACTTTTTTGTAATTCTCTCGCAAAGCTGCAACGATAAAGTTGGAATATATCTGTACAAGATAACTCATTAGATTGTGTCACGTATAAATAATAAAAAATGTGCTTATTACATTCATGGAAATGGGGGGTATTGTCTTTGGTCTCTCTGGGACCCAGCAAACTTGAGACACAATAATTGCTCGCGTTTGATGGCAGTTGTTAACAGTCCAAGGTGTTTCATCGCGCATGAATACCCAGTTCATAACGATGTATGCAAAGATAGATAATACTGTCTGATTCAGAAATTAAAAAAAAAAAGATCTATTGGTTGAGATATCATGTTTTTTGCCAACAACCCAACACCGGTTTATTTTCTCAAAATTTTAAAATAAAGGAATTTTTTGCCCGCCTTATTTTTTTCCGACCAATCGCATTAATTAATTTTAGTATTCTGCAGAGGATATTATCAATAAAATTGATATGATATGGCCTAAAGAATTAAAAAAAAAGAAATTCACATCACTAAATGCTAGCATTTAACGTAATATCATTTTTTTTCGTTTTTTTTTCTAAATCTTTATTTGCCGTATGAATTCCGTTCTTAGAGTGCCTGGTGGAGAACAACAAGCGACATGATTGCGGCTGGCCAGGCATTACTCAAACGGAGTGTCATCGCCGAGGATGCTGCTTTAATAACGTACCGTCTAAATCTACCTGGTGTTTTTTCAGGCAAGGTGAGGCGTGTTCTCAGTCATGCCTACCTCCATAAGTCGAGGTGTTTGTGTGTTTCTGTTTTTTTTGTGTGTGTGTGTGTGTGTGTGTGTTTGCTTGTCTTTTGTGACCATAAGTAACGGTAGAATCACACGACACCATGTATTTTGGGGAAATCTGTAACCACAGACTAACAGTAATGCTGTTGAATTTGAGGTCAAAATGGCCTGCCCAAATCAGCCAAAATTTTTAACATTTAGTGACATATGAAAAAGCTAACTATTGGACTATAATCCATTAACTGAGTATAGCCTGTTGTGTCCCAAACCGTGCCTTTCCCAAACCGTGCCTGAGCGGACACAGAGCGGGACACAGCTTGACTGTCCAGAACCGTGCCCGAAAGTGCTGATCGGCGGGACAGGCATTAGGTTTAGGACGAGGCCATCTTGTGTCCAGAACTGTGTGATATCCGAGGCACGGTTCTGGACAATTAGTTTATCTAGACGTTAATTTGCTCCAGTCTGTCGAGGATACGCTTCCAGGCTTGGTGAATAAGCACAGTGTTGTTTCCGGTTCCAGGGCCGTTCTTGGGTCATTTTAATTTCTTGGTTATACTACGTGCTGTCTTGTATGAAGAACCGTCTCAGATGGGACAAGCTTTAAGAAACTGATAGAACCTTATTCATTTTAGTGCATAATAATACATTACACACTGTTTTAACACTACATGTATGCCTAAATCACCTTAGACCAGCTCAAAAAGTAAAAGTACTTTAATACAGAGCAATAACTACACCGATTCCTTCTTATCTTATTCTTGTCCCGACGAAAAAACAAATGTGTCGGCTTAAAACAACAACACGAGAAGGCACCTTCCTCAAAACACTAAGCTCCGCCCCCAAAGCACGGAATGGGACAATGCCCTTGTGTGTCCAGAACTGTGCCCGGTCAGGCACGGTTCGACAGTCCCCGCGTGTCCCAGAATGTAATGTAGATTTGCCCCAAGCACGGTTTGGGACACCCACCGTGTGTCCCAAACCATACCCACAACAGTGCTCTTCCGTTAACACCCATGTGTGGGGACGCCTAAGAAAGAACCCCTAGATTCAAAGGACATTTTCGGAGGAATAGAGCCATGATAGTATCTTAAGTGGTATGTCTTATTTCCGATTATTTTTATTGAGAATAAAGCACTTCGTTACACAAAGCTGCGTTTTATAACATTAGGACCTTATCAAAAATAATGTTTGGTCATTTCTTAATCTATGATTCGTATAAGTTGAATCAACTTTACTCCTTTGCAAATAGATACCATTCAGGAAGTGGATTTGCCAAACTATGACGCCTTACGAGTGTGCCTCGTGTGGGCTGATTTAGCACAAACCATAAATATTAGAAACATGAAATAATCGCACAAATATGTTGGAAGCTGGAAGTAAATCCCAACCTCACAAAGAAAGTCCCTTTCATGTCTTTCGAACCGTAAGATTGGAATTCTAACTTACTTCGCTCCTCATACTTGCCGACGTAATGGCGTTGCATGGCCTACTCATTATTGTTCCCCCATCTTAAACACATTCCACTTGAAATTCAAGATAGCGTTTATATCATGGATAGTAACGTTCTTTTATTCACAACTATTTGTTTTGCATGTGCCGACGTTTCCGTGACCGTCTATCATTTTTATCAAGGCTAATATTGCTGGTTTACTGTATACAGTGATAGACAGGTAACCCGTCATATCAGCCCTGATAAAGATTACAGTCGGTCTTCGAAACTTGAATAAAAGAATCAATCATTTACAGACCTGCATGATGAAATTATTTACGCTCATGATTTTATTCATATTCTTCAATTTCAACCACCAGAAAGTTGCCAGTACGCAGGTGAGGCTTCCTGCATGTACCGAGGAACAGTCTCTGTGACTAACACTGGAAAGACGTGTCAACGCTGGGACAGTCAGACACCTCATGAACACATCAAGACACCTGCTGCCTACCCATCGGCCGGGCTGGAGCAGAACTACTGCCGGAACCCGGACGGCGAACCCGGAGTCTGGTGCTTTACCACGGATCCTAACTCGAGATGGGAGCTGTGTGACGTACCGTCATGTGGTAAGATCTGATTTTATGTGCAAATAAGAATGTGTCGTATAAGTCGGCCTGGTGCTTTTTCAAGCAAGGTGAGCCGTCTTCTCAGTCATGGTCACCTCCATGGAAGTGTTTATGTTTGTGTGTGTGTGTGTTTGTTTGTTCACTTGTGTGTCCATTAGTAGTTAAATATGATAGGATCACATGACGCTACATGTACTAGTCAGGGAAAATTGTGTAATTACTGACTAATAGCATATTGAAGGTTAATGAATTGGGGGTCAAAATGTAGTGTAGAACCGTAAACCAGTCATGACTATGTCAAACATTACCAACAGGAGTACAAGGAAATCAAACTACATTTCCAAACATATTAACCCTAAACAGTATACCTGGGGTCTGCGAGGCCGAGAATAATCTGATATGCATGACCCTGGGACTCAGACGCAATTTTTTAAACAACTTTACAAATAATACTTGTAAGTATTACTCGTTACACAAAGCTGCGTTATATAACATTAGGACCATACCAAAAATAAGATAACCAGTAATATTAGCCCTGATAATGAATTAAGACCTTTATTGTACATTTTTGCCCCACTGGGCTAAGCACAGGTCACATTGTACATATTCGAATACATATTCATATGAATATACATATAACTATTACATGTACATGTATCTATAAATGTTTAATGTATTCTAGTCTTTTCAACTTCTTCTAGCTTCTTAGTAATTGTATAAATGTAAGATGCTGTATGTGTAGTTAGATTTGGATTTTCAAAGGTTAACAGGAATATGATTTTTTTTTTACTTGTTAAGAATCCGAAGTGGGGAAATTTACTTAAATCATGTCCGAAGGATAATGCGTCTTACACTGTCAGATAAAGAACAATCTACGGTGAAATGCACTTCGTCCTCTACTCTATCTAGACTATAAAATTGGCATTTTCTTTGCTCTAGGGGAGTGCAATGTCTTCCTGCTTAAATTTGCAATTTGTGACAACTGATTCTTAGTTTTGTGATGGTGGATCTATGACTTACATTTGCTAATACAAGATATTCTTCTTCGTTATAAGAATGTTTTAATAGTCTGTATAAACTGAGTTTATTCTTTGCATTTGCAATTCTGTTATCGTTGTGCATTTCCGATAATTACAGACGGTCTTCAAAACGTCGGTTCATGCAAAAAATGGTTGTGGACAAAAGAAAGTTACTATTCAATCATTTACCAACCTGATAAAATTATTTATAATAAAATGACGGAGTTTTTATAACGTTTCTGGTTTAATTCATTTCTATTTTAAATTTCATCCACCAGTAAGCTGCCAGTACGCAGATGGGGCATCCTACCGAGGAACAGTCTCTGTGACCAACACAGGCAAGACGTGTCAACGCTGGGACAGTCAGACACCTCATGAACACATCAAGACACCTGCTGCCTACCCATCGGCCGGGCTGGAGCAGAACTACTGCCGGAACCCGGACGGCGAACCCCGAGTCTGGTGCTTTACCACGGATCCTAACTCGAGATGGGAGCTGTGTGACGTACCGTCATGTGGTAAGATCTGCTTTTATGTGCAAATAATAATGTGTCGTATAAGTCCGCCCGGTGCTTTTTCAAGCAAGGTGAGCCGTCTTCTCATTCATGGTCACCTCCATGGAAGTGTTTATGTTTGTGTGTGTGTTTGTTTGTTTGTTTGTTTATTCACTTGTGTGTCCATTAGTAGTTGAATATGATAGGATCACATGACGCTACATGTACTACTCAGGGAAATTGTGTAATCACTGACTAATAGCATATTGAAGGTTAATGAATTGGGGGTCAAAATGTAGTGTAGAACCGTAAACCAGTCATGACTATGTCAAACATTACCAACAGGAGTACAAGGAAATCAAACTACATTTCCAAACATATTAACCCTAAACAGTATACCTGGGGTCTGCGAGGCCGATTATAATCTGATATGCATGACCCTGGGACTCAGACGCAATTTTTTAAACAACTTCACAAATAATACTTGTAAGTATTACTCGTTACACAAAGCTGCGTTATATAACATTAGGACCATACCAAAAATAAGATAACCAGTAATATTAGCCCTGATAATGAATTAAGACCTTTATTGTACATTTTTGCCCCACTGGGCTAAGCACAGGTCACATTATACATATTCGAATACATATTCATATAAATATACATATAACTATTACATGTACATGTAACTATAGATGTCTAATGTATTCTAGTCTTTTCAACTTCTTCTAGCTTCTTAGTAATTGTATAAATGTAAGATGCTGTATGTGCAGTTAGACTTGGATTTTCAAAGGTTAACAGGAATATAATTTTTTTTTACTTTTTAAGAATCCGAAATGTGGAAATTTACTTAAATCATGTCCGAAGGATATGCGTCTAACACTGTCAGATAAAGAACAATCTACGGTGAAATGCACTTCGTCCTCTACTCTATCTAGACTACAAAATTGGCAGTTTCTTTGCTCTAGGGGAGTGCAATGTCTTCCTGCTTCGATTTGCAATTTGTGACAACTGATTCTTAGTTTTGTGATGGTAGATCTATGACGTACATTTGCTAATTTAAGATATTCTTCTTCGTTATAAGAATGTTTTAATAGTCTGTATAAACTGAGTTTATTCTTTACATTTGCAATTCTGGTATCGTTGTGCATTTTGGATAATTACAGACGGTCTTCAAAACG